AGCATTTGGATGTCTTCTTCGTCAAGAAGTTGCTTATTTTGATCGACCTGAAAACAGTTCAGGTGCGATTTGTGTTCGTCTTTCTTCTAATGCACTAGCCGTTCAAGAGACAGTGGGTATACACTTAGGAACCATTTGCGAAGCTCTTACATTGTCAGTTTTTGGAATTCTATTTGGATATTTCATAAGCTGGCAATTGACAGTGATCACTTCTGTGCCTCTTGTTATTCTACTCGCTGTCACCTATGGAAATATATACTTACGTATATCGTTGAATCAACAAACAACTCTAATTCTTGGACGAGCAAGCACTGTAAGATCATACTTTAGCTGATAATTTTCGATTTTGTTGGAAAAGTTATTTTGTTCTCACTTGCTTGATAAGTTTAATGCATCCACCATATTGATTCTGTCATATACTTTTACAGCTTGCTGTTGAAGTTATTCACAACATGCGTACAATAAAACAGTTGTCCATTGAAAAGGAAATATTAAGAAAATATTCTGAAATAATTTATGAAGTGCCTATGTTAGTCAATTGAGTCTTATAGGTTTAAAAATTATTAATGAATCTTATTATGTTATAGATTCTCTTGGAAATTTTTGGTGCTACCTTCAACAGCGTATGGTATATTTTGGATACTAGATATATATACTTTGGCATTTATGTATTGGCGTGCTCTGGCTTTAGTTGAAAAGAACGAGATCACCTCGAACAGTGTTATAATGTAATTAAAACTACAGTTTGGTAATCTAGAGACAAAGATTCATTATCTTTTCAATTTATTAGGGTCTGTTCGCTTGCTGGTTTTTCGATTCAAGCACTAAGAGTTGTCGGAATGAAGTGACATTTTTATTCTCGAAGTTTGAGTTTTTCCTTTCACAGTCTCCATTCTAGATCTTGGCGTGTTGCTGCATCAATCTCAGCTGCTGAAGAATGTTTTGATTTATTTGATCGAAAACCTGCTATCGACAATACATCTGGTGAAGGACAAGAATTGGTAAGAGAATATGGAAGACAACTTATTTTGTTTTAATCATGTACAAGTCATGGATACAATATGATTCGTGTAGGTTGACTTTCGTGGTGACATCAAATTTGATCAAGTTAAATTCA